AGTACACTCTTTGACATCAGTTTCAAAAAGAATCTTTTCGGACACTGTAACTCTCAGTTGAGGGAAACAATAGAAAGAATAAACAATGGGACTTCATCAGACTAAAGAGCTTCTTCAAGGCAAGGGAAAACAGAATTGAAACAAAAAAACAGCTCACTAATTGGGAAAAAATATTTACAAGCCACTTATCCGACAAAGGGTTAATCTCCATAATATACAAAGAACTCACACTGCTTAACAACAAAAAAACAAACAACCCGATCAAAAAATGGGCAGAGGACATGAACAGACATTTCTCGAAAGAAGATATGAATATGGCCAATAGACACATGAAAAGATGTTCATCATCGCTAATTATCAGGGAAATGCAAATCAAAACTACACTAAGATATCACCTTACCCCCGTTAGATTGGCAAAAACATCCAAAACCAAGAACGACAAATGTTGGAGAGGTTGTGGAGAAAGAGGAACCCTCATACACTGTTGGTGGGAATGCAAACTGGTACAGCCACTATGGAAAACAGTATGGAGATTTCTCAAAAAGTTAAAAATAGAAATACCCTATGACCCAGCCATCCCATTACTGGGTATCTATCCTAAGAACCTGATATCAGATATCTCAAGAGTCCGTTGCACCCCTATGTTCATCGCAGCATTATTTACAATAGCCAAGACGTGGAACCAGCCTACATGCCCAGAAACTGATGATTGGATAAAGAAGATGTGGTATATATACACAATGGAATACTACTCAGCCATAAAAAAAGACGAAATTGGCCCATTCACAACAACGTGGATGGACCTCGAGGGCATTATGTTAAGCGAAATAAGTCAGTCAGAGAAAGACGAACTCTACATGACTCCACTCATAGGTGGAAATTAGTATATTGAGAAGGAGATCTGATCGGTGGTTACCAGGGAAAAGGGGGGGTGAGGGGAGGGTACGGAGGGGGAAGTGGTGTACCTACAACATGACTAACAAAAATGTACAACTGAAATCTCACAAGCTTGTAATCTATCATAACATTAATAAAAATAAATAAATAAATTAAAAAAAAAACTAACTTATGCAAAAGAAAGGAATTTATGAAAAGTAGTTGTACGAGAACTTTGGCTGCCTGTGACAGAAACCCAGTTCAAACTGGCTTAAGGAAAAAGAAAACCCAAAAAAGGACTTTGGGTCCCATAACTTGAAATGTCTAGGGATAAAGGCATCGGCTCAGGGACCTAGCTCCTTTTTGTGGCTCTCCTTTCGAGTCAGCTTCGCTCTCAGGTTGCATGGTGGCAAGACAGTCCCCAACAGCTCCTGGCTCAAATCCCACCAGCTTGGTACCCCAGAAGAAAGACGAGCCCTGCCTCCCAGTAGCTCCGGCAAAAGTCCTGGGATTGAGTCTCATTAGCCTGACTCGAGCGTCACAGGCCCACCCCTGAATCGGTTACTGTGGCCAGAGGGAAACAACACTCTCGTTGGCCAGGCCTGGGTCATGTGCTCACACCTAAGGGTTGGGGGTGAGGCCAGCCCCACACAAACCACTGTGCCCGAGAGGGAAGGAGTGGTCCATTGACAGAATGGATACTGGTCAGGCAAAACTAACAAATGTATACTCTGAAATCCCAGAAAAATCCCGCTTCTTCATTCTCCATCCTCAGGTTCTGAATTTCCATCACTCTAGTTCAAACAGATATCCCAGATTCATTGCTCAGACAAGAGTATCTGACTGGACCAGCTTTGGTCAGATGTTCAGCCCTCATCCAATCATCTATGAACAGGGGGGTGGGGTCACCTACTGGAGCCTGCGGTGGACAGGGCAGTTCTTAGAGGAGCCAGGCCGATGCCTCACACCTGTCGATTGTGGATATGCAGAACTTCTGGAAGATCTAAATTAGCTCATTATCATGAAAGAATCGGGGAATCCATTAATGGGTTGGACGATAAGGAGTAGATGATTGCGGATCCTGGGAGAAAGGCTCAATCCTCAGATTTCCCCTCTCTTTCCTTCTGGGTGCTCTGAGGCTGACAATGAGAAGAGCAGTGGGTGTGGGAGATGGGCTGCACTGACCCTGAGGGATGCAGGGGCGGGGATGTTGAGACCCGACGGGTGGCTGGCAGAAGGGGGAGCCCAAGGCTCTGAGAGAGTACAGGGTCTGCAACAACAAAACTGAGCCCTTGATTTGGAGGAAACCAGTCATCGAGGCAGAGACTGGGGAACAGGGACCTGGAAACCAGATCAGGTGTAACTGGAGCACAGCGAGTACCCCCCACTCCTGCTTCTAAATGTTACTGCCCAGTCTTGGTCGGAGGAATCAGGCAGAAGGCCACTTCTAGAATGGGCAGGGGGTCAGAGAAGACCAGCAGCCTGGTCAGCTGAGCCTCATGGCCCCACGCGACCCTTCCCTTCTTTCCAGAAGTGGACAGGACAGATTCCCCAGCTCTGGGCTGACTCAGCACACACGTCAGGCGAGCGCAGCCAGGAGCCCCGAGCTGTGCACGGGGTGAGCGTGGAGCAGAGAGCGGCGCAGGTCATCGTAACGTAACCTCTCAGAGGGAGCGCTTGGAAAGCACGTCAGCCGGACGTGTGTAGTAAGAATGTTAATAATGGTGATGATAGGAATGACAGCAGACCTTTCTGGAGTGCCTACTATGTGCCGGGCACTGTTCCAAGATGCTTTCAATGGATCATTTCCTTTCATCCTTGCGACACCCCTGGGAGGCGGTGCTATTGTTCTGTCCATGAAGATGGACATGAGGAATACGAGGCAGAGAGGTGAAGCACCCTGCCCAAGGTCGCACATGAGCAAAGGTCATTTAACTCTCTTGGACACCAGCTTTTAGGGTGTCTGGGCCCCATCAATTCTCCATCACCAGCTTCAACGAATCTCCTCATGCATCCTCCCTCCAGCGTTCCAAGCCTCCTGCAGTTTGTGGAACGCTCCCTGCTGCCTCCTGCCTCCTTGCCTTTGCACATGCCCTTCCCTCTTCCTGGCACGCCCTTTCCCCTGGCAAACTCTCACCCCTCCTCCAAGACCCACTGCAAGCTAGCTGTATTCTGGCAACCTGCCCTGACGCCGGCCCCCGTGCATGGGATGACTAGCTCTCTTCTTGCCTCCAAATCAGGAGCTCTGTCATGTCTGCATCACAGTGCTCTCTCCCAGACCACACTGGGTCGGGCAGGGATCAAGTCTTATTCTTCTCTACAGAGCGCCTGCTCAGGTCAGGCCCAGAGGAGGCAGCCGTGCAGGTGAATGAACATCTGTGGGGGGCGGGTTCCTGTCCCCTGCTCACCCTCACCATGGCACCTCTCTCCTGATCTCTTGGCAGCCTGGCGTGGGGCTCCTTTACCTGCTGCATGGCAGCCTCTGTCACCACGCTCAACTCCTACACCAAGACGGTCATTGAGTTCCGGCACAAGCGCAAGGTCTTTGAGCAGGGCTACCGTGAAGAGCCGACCTTCATAGACCCCGAGGCCATCAAGTACTTCCGGGAGAGGTCAGTGCACGTGGGTCACCACTGGGTGTCTGAAGCCTAGGGCCTGTTCTCAGTGGCCACAGGTCTCCACTCACAAACTGGAGTGAGTGGTCTGACAGAAGTGTTCTGGGGGGGTTGTAGGGTAGAAGGAGTCGGCTGAGTGAGGCAGAGTTTGGACCCCACTATGCTGGATTTTCTGGGGCATTTTAATGTTTTATGGGGCATAAGGTTGCCTTGGGCTTACATAATCAGAGCCTGAGAAACCAAGTTTGAGTGTTTGCCATTTGGCCTCATGCTTCTTAGAACCAAGGTAGGGGCATACAGAGACTGAACCAAGATTTCCTTCTTGGGCTCTGCCACAGAACTGAGTGAAAAGAGGACCCAGCAGTGAGATTGGTGATGGCTGCTAGAGGAGGAGGGCTCCTCAAGATCAGGGACCACATCTGATCAGGTGGGTCCTCAAAGTCCAGCTAGGAATGGAGAAGGTGATAATAAATGGTGGGTGTATACATATATGGATGGATGGATGGATGGATGGACGGACGGATGGATGGATGGATGCATGGATGGATGAATGAATGGGTGAACGGATGGTTGGATGGATGCCTGGATAGATACATGGGTGGATGTATGGTTGGATGGATGGATAGCATATTTCCTGAAAATAATTCCTAAATAAACTACCTGAACCCAAATCCTTATCATAGAATCTGCTTCTGGGGGAGTTGATTGGACATGCAGTAATGCCTTTCAGTGGCAGGGAACCGAAAGGGTCTCAGGACCAAGGACAGAGTCGGAGGAGGGAAACAGGGAAGCTGTTGTAGAGCCGGACAGTGTTGAGGAGTTGGACTCTCTGTGGGGCATGTGGAAGGGTTTCAAGGTGAGGAGGTCCATGTTGGGAGCCACGCAGGGACCTCTAACTGTTACAGGCCCCATCATCTCTCCTCTGTCATATGGGCCTCCTTTCTGTCCCTTGAATACTGCAAGTTCATCCCTACCTCGGGGCCTTTGCACATGCTGTGGAATATTCACTTGGTTGTTCAATCAGGTCTCAACTCAGCTTTCACCTGCTCTTTGAAGCCTTCCTTAGCCACTTGGTCTAAATTTGCACACCCCATACATTGCTACTTTTTCATAGCACCTGACACAGCCCATTTTTTCATAACACCTGACACAACCCATTTTTTCATAGCACCTGACACAACCTGACGTTATTCTATTTGTTTACCTGTTTGATAGTTTGTAGACTGTGAGCTTCATGATAGAAGGAGCTGTCTTTTTCCTGATGCTATGCTGAGCACCCAGAACTGGGCCAGGCACCCAGCAGGTGCTCATGAAATGTTTTGTGGGTTTTTTTGGTGACCAACTGAATTCTTCTCTTTGGAGACCTCCGTCCTGACCGCCTCATGCCCTTTTAGCTGAAGCCCCACCATCCTTGGGCAGATTCAGCAGCCCAGTGCCCCCACGCCAAACCCCAGGTCGGTGTCCAGTCCTGGGCCAGTCAGCTGTGGCCAGAGAAGGCAGGCTAATCTGTGGACAGAGCATGGTCACTAGGAAGGTGGCAATGATTGGCATAGCCCAGGGTCCATAGTGCATCCTCAGCAAATGTTTATAGCTGCTGTATGAACAGCCTGATTCTGATACCGCCCCATTCGCGGTGCGCCATTGTCCCCTGGGCTGTGGGCAGCCGCCTGCTGGGGCAGCCGTGGGTAGCCTTGTTTTGCTGAGGCAGGAGACAGGCCCTCCTTGTCTCTCAGCAGCAGGAAGCTGCTGTGTGCTGGTGCCCCAGTGGCAAGGGGCCCTAACAGCTCAGGCCCCGACGACGTGGGAGACGATGAGTGCTTCCCAGCATATGTGCAGAATATCACTTTACACGCTTATGACTTGAACATTATGCAGAGGTTCATCAAGTTTTATTTCCCTTCCTCTCCGAGGAGAGCATTCAGCTTAGCTGGCTGTTCTAATTTTTTTGTGTTCGTGTGCCCTCCCTACAAAGAGCTCGGAGCACGGGGGCAGATCTCTGCACAGGTTTGCAGGTGGCCCAGCAGCAGAACTGAAATCCTGCAGTGGCCAGTGTTCCCGAAACCTCAGCCAGAGACCCGAGGGAAGGGATCCGTGGCCTTGCCTGTCCATGGCTCCAATCCTTGGGGGACGGGGGCGCTGTGGAAAGAGCAGGGGTCTGGAGGCCCCCGACCTGACTGAGTTTTCCAGTTCTGTCCCTTGGCAGCTGTGTGACTTGAGGCAAGGCACTGAACCCTTCTGGGCTGGTTTGCTCTGACCCACAGTGGGAGTGCCCTGGGAGGCCTCAATTTGATAACCCAGGTGACACGCCGGCACAGTGCCTGGCACGTGGAGGGTGTTTTGTATGTGTGACTTCCCATCCCTTTTCCTACTAATGCAAAGTATAGGCTTTGTGACAATTAGCTTAGGATGGAGATGGAGACGGAGATGAGAAATTAGGAGGCATTAGATTCCTATTAAGTCATATTAATAAGCAAAGCAAACGCCTGCAGGGTGCTTGCCCTGCACCAGGTACTCCTCTGAGTACTCTGGAAGTGACTCAGTTAATTCCACAGCACCTCTGTGAGGTAGTAGGTATTATTGTATCCCCATTTTATGGATGCAAACGTGAGGCACAGAGAGGTGAAGTGACTTGTCCAAAGTCACACAGCTAGTAAGTGCCAGAGCTGGGATTTGAACCAGGTCATAGTCAGTCACTGTGCTGTGTGGCCGCTCAGGATCGGTAGTCTCTGCCCGGCCCTGAGGCAGGACCTGGGCATGCCGGGGTGAATGAGGGGAACTGCCGAGGCCCACCTGAGGCGGGGAGGTGTGAGAGAGGCCGTGTGTGCAGGAGAGTGTGGGAGGACACACGCCCTGGGAGAGGGGGCAGGGTCTCCTGCCGCCCCCTGAGAGTCATTCGTGGATCCAGCTCCATCCGGGCCTCTCCTGCTGTCCTGACTGAGAACACGACGGTGCCCTGTGGGGGCAGAGGGAGCAGGCCTGGCCTGAGCTGCCGCCCCAGCCGGCCCGCCCCGTCCTGTTGGACGGTTCTCTACAGGAGCCTAATGCAGGTCTGAGTCGCAGCTGGGCAGAGTCTGAACGGTTTCCGGGGGTTTTGAGATGTGGGAGGTGTGCTCGCATGTCGGGTTTGGTTGGGGGAAGCCTACACCCCCTGACTCTGAGCAGCCTCGCCTGTCCCAGCGTCACCCGGTCTGTCCTCCCCCTGGAGGGTGTCTTAATGGGGTCTCCAGAGGGGAGGGTCTGAGGCTGCTGAGTGAAAGGTAGATATTGGCAGGTCGGGGCTTTCTTGAGCGCTTAATGTTCAGATCTGGCTTAACCACGGAGGGGGGAAGGAGCCCCTGGAGGAGAGGGGGGTTCAGCCGCACACAACAAGCCTCCGCCTCCCGCGGGAAAGCTGCAGTGGGGGCGGGGAGCTGGGGTGGCTCCTGCTCCTTCCTTGGCCCCCCTCTGAGCGGCCACTTCCCCTTGCTCTGCGGGCCCCTCGCACTCCCGACTTACTCCTTCCTTCGTTCCTTCGTGACTTGCTCGTCGTGTCTGCCTCCTTCCCGCGTGCACCGTGCGAGAGAGCAGGGAGCTCATCTTTCTTGGTTTCCACTTGATCTCGGCACTAGAAGCAGAGGAACTCCATAAGTGATATTATTAACTCTCCATAATAATTATACTGTTAATCGTGGTCAAAAGTTGGGCAAGGCTTCCTGTTGCAGGCACGGTTCGAGGGCCGTGTCTGTCCGCGCTCACTCACCCTGTGGAAGATGTGAAGAAATGGACCGGGCTTGAAATTAACTCGCCGTTGACTAGCTGGGAGTCCCAAGGTGAGTCACGGCACCTCTCTGAGCCTCGGTTTTCCTGGCTGGAAAATGGGCCCACACCTTCCTCGCAGTTTCGTTTAGAGGATTACATGAGATGGTGCAGCTAAGTCTCTGGCACAAAGCTGAGGAGGCCCCCCTCTCCCTACCCCCACCTCCGCCAGAAACCTCCCTCCTTACAGGGCAAGTAAGACGCATGCCCTGCCTGGGGGAGGGGCACAGCGCATGGAGCTACCTGGTGGCCCTTGGAGAATCTTGCCTGGAGACGTGCTTTCTTGGGCCCCCATGGTGATTTTAAAACTCTTAAATTTTGGCTGAGTTTTAGAAATCAGGAGATTCCATGTTTTTATCAAGGCTGTTGGCTTCTCATGAGAAAGCTGAGGGTCTGGCCACTCTGGGCTGGGTTCCTGCATGGTGACACTGGGCTGCAGCGGGCGCCTGCCCCTCGGGGCCTGCAGTCTCTTCCATGACCCAACCGCAAGGTGCCCCATGGGTCTCCCGGAGGGGACGCTGGTGCAGGGGTCAGGCCCCAGGGGAGGCGGAGGATAGAAGAGCCTTCACAGAGGAGAGCCGCAGCCCAGTCTTTAGAGACCGCGCAGGCTCACGCCAGATGGGCAGTGTCGCGAGAAGGCGTTCTCAGGCACAGGCAGTGGTGTGTGCAAAGGCCAGGGTGGCGGCACACAGGTGTCGTTGGAAAATCTAAGCAGTGTGGTGTGATTTGAGAGTAGGGCTGGCTGGGGGCGGGCCTGGGTCTCTTGTCTCTCCGTCTCCCACTGCATTTGGGCCGGGGGGCTGGTGGTAGCACCAGATTGAATATTACCAGGTTAGAAGGTGGGAGCAGGAAGCTTCCCCAAGCCTCGCTCCTGGGGGCCAGCCTCACTGCTCCCACAGACACGGCAGCCAGACGCTGCTCGGGGGAGATGGGCGAGCAAGTAGGCATCGCCACACAGTGCAGGGCCAGCCTCCCCTTTACACGTCTCTGCTCTCTCTCCTGTCCATTGTAGGAAAAATTTTAGAAGGGTTTGTCACCACTTCCTCACCTCCCACTTACAGCTCCCCCCTCTCAATTTGCCCTCCACCCGCCACTCCCCGAAACAGCTCCCAGCAGCCCCGATGGTCCGCACACACCCTCCTCCCTGGGCTCCACCAGCCACTCCTCTGGGCTTTGTGCCCCCTCCCACCTCCTCCCCTCCTCCGTTCTGTTAAATGGTGGTGTTCCCAGGCTCAGTTCTGGTCCTCCTCTCTCCTCATTTGACGTTCGCCTCCGTGGCCATGTGTGCGCCAGGACTCCCACACTCTTTGTCCGCTCCAGACGCCTGACTCCATGTCCAGCTGCCTCCTTGGCGTTTCCGCTTTGAATTCTCAAAGGCACCAGATGTCAACATGGCCAGGACTCACTCACGATAGTCTCCCCCATACCCAGTCCTGTTTCCACATCCGTCTCCCGCAGTGGTCCTGCTTGTGCAGGCCAGGCATCTGCAAGTCCTTACACCTATGCCCAGTTCACACCCATCCAGCACACGTTTGCCCTTCCGTGAGTTCACTTCTCTGCACTCCACTCCCATCAGCCTAGTCCACGGCTGCGTCTGCTCCTACCACATATGTGGAGGGAAGATGTAAACCCCACATCCGCCTCTGTTCCCTCTCCTCTCTTCTCCTCCAGTAGCCTGAGTGCCTCTTCACTATGCCAACATAGTCAGGGGCCCTCTACCCCTATCTTTTTTTTTTCTTTTTGGAGGAAGATTAGCCCTGAGCTAACTACTGCCAGTTCTCCTCTTTTTGCTGAGGAAGACTGGCCCTGAGCTAACATCCATGCCCATCTTCCTCCACTTTATATGTGGGATGCCTACCACAGCATGGCTTGCCAAGTGATGCCATGTCTGCACCCAGGATCCGAACCGGCGAACCCCGGGCCGCCGAGAAGTGGAATGTGCGAACTTAACCACTGCGCCACCGGGCCAGCCCCTCCACCCCCATCTTTCTGCCTAAATCTCTGCAGCGGCTCCCACAGCTCCAGGACAAAGACCCAGCACCTCTCCGTGACTACAAGGCGCTGCCACTGCCTGGCCTTGCCGTGGGCCCCGGACTCCCTCCGCCTGCAAAGAGCACCCCTCTGGACGTCACGGTTCCGCAGACGGGTCGCTCTGCTCCCTCGGCGTGGCCCCTGGACCGCTGTCCCCTCGCCTGCAGTGCTCCCCGTTCTTTGCCTCGTCGATGCTCGGCCTTCGGCGGTCGCCTCAAGCGCTGACTCCCCTAGGACAGAGCCCCTGGGCCCACCCCATGGCGCGCTTCGCAGCTGTAACCCTTCAGTGACTCGGGACAGCTCCATGGGACAGGGGTGCAAGTCCACTCACCTTTATTTCCTAATAGTGAGATGGACGGAGACAGTGACAAAGAGCAGAGAGGAAGGCCTCCCGGAAGGAGCCTCATGGGGTGTCACTCGCCAGTCTATGAGGCCAAGGTGACCTTTGCCCTCTGGGAGCTGCCTGTGGTCTCGCCTGCGTGATCTTCTCCCAACTCTTTCCCCAGGCATGCCTGACAGCACCTAACCTCAGGAACGCCCTCCTGGGTGACTTTGCTCACCTGTTCTCTCTCCTTGGAGCCGAGCTGAAGCTGGGAGGGGAAGGGGCTTTTGAGGTGAACCCAGTCTAGAGATTTCCACGGTGTCATGGTCCCTGGGAGCTCCCCGAGAGGCTGCGGGGGAGAGCGGGGGTGGCTCCTAATGCCAGTGGTCGCCTTTCTAAGTAATAATTTATAACCCATGCCGCTCTGAAAGTAGTCTCAGGGTGCTAATAACTGGAGGTGTCTTTTTAAACCCAGTTTCGGGGAAACGGGAGACAAAACCACGAAAAATCTTTGCGTGCACAAAGATCTGGGGAGGTGTTGACACTGTTGACAGCCTTACCCTCTGTATCTTCCAAAGGTTTTGTATCATGATGATACTACCCATAAGATGGGAAAAGAAAAAAAAAGCAAATCATTTAAAAAACTCGTTTATTTCCCCCTGTCTTGGAATAGCACTTCTGATGTGATGTTACGGAATCTTAATTTCCTACTTATGATCGTTTATTTGCCAAAGTTCCTTATACTTCCATTCTTTACTCCACTGCAAATGGGTCATTTAAAACTCACTGTGTCCTTTGTCCTCTGCGACCGTTCCCTAGAGATGTGACCTCTTTGTTGGGTGCTTTGAAATCGCTGTTTAATCTCGAGCGAGCGCAGCACCCAGAAATTAGAGATGACATGGAGGGGACTGCAGGGCCTCACCGGCTCCCGGGATTGGATCATGGACCATCACCACATGAAAGGAAAGCAAAAAGCGCAGACAGGTCCTTGAACTGGAAAACCATGAGGTGGAAGTGGGGTGAACATCTGGGAGGATGGCGCTCCCTGAACTCCCCCATTTTCTCGTAGCCAGCCGGAGGGGAAATGAGAGGCGGAGGGAGAGGGGGGGAGTGCTGGGGCGCCCTCCTGCCCCCGCACCCCCGTCACTGCTGCTGCTTCCTTGGTGATGCCCATTTGTAGCCAGGTCTCTGGGGAAGATACTGGAGGCCTGGGTCCCCTGGACGACAGCCTAGGACCTGCAGGACGACTGAGCCAAAGCTTAGTGGAGCCCCCCACATGCCCAACACCAAGGGTCCAGTGCCCGGCTCCTCAAATGTGATCCAGGCTCCAACAGCATCAACCTCACCTGGGAGCCTGTTTGAATGCAGAACCCCTGACCTACTGCATCAGACTCTGCATTTTAACAGGCTGCCCTGGTGATCTGTGTGTACTGTTGAGTTTGGGGAGCGCTGGGCTGGAGGGTGGAGCAGATGCAGTCCCACTCAGGGGTCAAGAGGTAGACACGGCCGGCAGAGGCCAGGGGATAAAGAAGGGTCCTACAGACCAGTGCTCCTCGAGTGTCGTCCTGGACCCGTGCCCGTCTGCAAACATCCACAGTGATGTAAGGACAGAAACTGAGATCTGTGTTTGGAAACTTCCACGGCGCGTTGATATGGCTGGTATACTGTACCCAAGCTTGCCTTTGTATGTGGTTTTTATCCATTCATTTTCTAGCAACTCGCTGCTGTATTTCATTTAAAAATTGGTCCAAGGTAGATTGAAAATTAAGGGTAAAAAACCTAGTCCTTTATTGGATAGTTTGAGAAGCGCAGCACGTGGACTGTTATTCAGACCAGGAAGGGGCTAGAGACTGGGGAACAAGCCAGCCTGGGGCCAGCCGGAGAGGGGCTGGCTGTGAGGGTGGCACAGACAGGGCTGGGGCCTGGAGAGCATCCTGGGGAGGCCCTGGGGCTCCTGTCACAGCAGAGCTAAGACGTAGTGGACGCCAGTGCCCCTAGCTGCAGTGGCCACATTTGGCCCTGAGATGAGGTGGGCAGGGACTGGGGGGTCCTCCCAAGGAAGAGAGGAGGTCTTGGTTCTGGTCCACGCTCGGACCCTCAAGTCCTCGGGGCGTCCCTGCTCCCGTAACTTGCCTGCATCCTTCTCTTCTCTCAAAAAGAGAAACCCAGCCTCGGCCAGATTCCAGAAGTCGTGGGTCCCTGGGGCAGTGCCTCTGTGACAGTGCAGTCCCACCCCATGCAGCTGTTTGCACATCTGCTTCCGCTCTGGGGCAGCCAGAGCTGGATGGCTCCCAGCACCACCTTCCACCAGGACCTCACGATGCAGGCGTGCCAGGGGGTCTGTCGCGAATGCCCTGCCAGCCGGGAATCTGCAGCACACACCGGAAACATGCTTGAGCTCCAGGGACCGGTAGGCTAGAGTTCAATTCCCAGCCCGGCCACCGGCCAGCTGCGGGGTGGAGCAGGTCCGTGTCGGCCCCACAAGAGCCAAGGGTGCCGATGCCGCCCGGGGACTCCCTTTTCAGCGATGTCAGCCCGGTCGTTTCAGGTCAGCCATGCTGAGAGTATTCACCCCGCAGAGGCCCATGAACACTGCACAGCTCGGCTTCTCTTCCTGCTGGAGGGCCAGTTACTACCATTTGCCAGCGCCCGCTGAGCTTTCAGCCAGTTAGCAGTCTCCCTTAGCTTATGTTTTCACATCTGTAAAATGGGGATGATGGTCATGATGATGACGGTGGTGCCCCTGTGGTTGGGATACAAGTTTGAATGGGTGTAAACAGACCCAGAACAACGAGGATTTAAACAATTTACAAATGTATTTGCTTCTCACTTGACAGTCTGAGCAGGTTCCTCTGTTCTCATCGCCCTCCGTGGGGCTCGTTCTCCCTCCACGCAGCATGGCGTCAGCTCCCTCAGCTTCTGCTCTGGCTCTCCTTGTCCCCAGTTTAGAGACATTCTGTGTCTTCTAGAAGGAAGGCTGTGCCGTAGCCCCTGTGGGCTCCCTCTGCCCTGAATCCAGAGGCATGCGATGCTGCGGACCCTTTTCTCCGCTTCTTCCGAAACATCCCTTTCCTGAGGCAGCAGGTGGCTCAGGTGTGAGGATGGAGTGGAAGGAGGGGTGTGTGTTTGCGGGGAGGAGCGGCGGTTAATATGTCAAAATAACAGCCCTCCACCTCAGGAACTGTGAGGCGGGTCACAGAGCGACAGACCGTGAAGGCCCCGGTGGTGAGGATGATGATGGTGACAGGGCAGTAACGATGGCGGAGCTCTGGAGCCCTAGACAGACTGAGCTCCACGTTCTCCAATCCGTGTAACGCCCGCAGCCGCCCTAAGAGGCAGGTACTTTCTTAGGCCCATTTACCAGATGAGGAAATCAAGGCTCAGAGATAATGGGACATGCCCAGACTCGACCCCTTACAGAGGAAGCCGCCGGGAGGGAAGTGACACAGTGAGAGCATGGAGGCGCCGGGGCCACCTGTGGTCCTCACACGTCCCCATCAACCCTTCAAGACACTTATTTACATTTGTGGGTAATTTCTCACACCACCATCCAAAGAAAGGGCCTGCCTTCAGAGAGCACAAAATACTTCCTGCAGGAAATGACAGTTCAAATCAAAGGAAATTGCCACCTGGTGACATTTGCAGCAGCTTCTCTTTCTACACAGAGCTCAGCCACCCTGGCTGACCCCCGGCTGCCTCCCCAGCGGGCTGCTCCTAGCCTGGGCAGCTTGTGCTGGTTTCCTCGTCCCCTCGTCCTCCCCCCCGCTCCCCTCCCTTCTAACATCCTGCGGACACTCTGGGCCGAGTGCGCTGTGCTGGCCCGCGGGGCCACAGCAGAGCATGAGGTCAACTCCGCCCTCTTCTCTCTGAGTGTAAACTGTTCGGGGGAGACCGATGATTAAACGGGTTTCCACCTGGTAGTGCGAACCTCTCCTAAGCCCTCGCTCTGGCCCGTACTGGGCCTCAGTCCTCGCAGCAAACAGTGGCACCGTGCTGGTTGTCCTTCCTGGCATTCCTGCCACGACTATTGTGCCCATTGCCACAGAGAAGACCCTGAATCACAGGCATTCAGAGCGGTCAGGAGAGCCGCACGGGGCTGTGCTCAGCCGCTATCCCTCCTATCCGCAGGGCCAGCTTCTCCACCGCGCCCACAGCATCCCCTGGTCCTCCCTGGTTCCCTGTCAGGAAGCGCCGGGGGCTGCGGGAGGGTCCTGAGCCCTGTCACAACTGCTGCCAAGCCGCAGCCACTCACCGGACGTCTGCCGGCCCCTGCAGAGCTGTTATTTTCCTTGGCAAATCTGGCAGAGAGGGCTCCGTTTGTGCAAGGAAACCAGCTCTTTCTAGAATGGCAACAAAACCCTAGAAAGACAGGCCACCCGGGCGTGGATCCCAGCTCCCTCTCTGAGAAGCGGGCAGTCGTGGGGCTTCAAGATGCGGCCCCCACGCAAGTGGCTCTCCACTGTGCTGCGTGTCCCCATCCCGGGAACTTAACCGCCCCCGCCCCGGCACTTCTGTGGGCCTCTGCGGTGGGAACCACTGGCTAGACAAGTTCACACGCTCTCTCCGGCAAGCCATGTCGGGTTCCCATGTGCTGCAAAGAAATTGCTAAACACGCCCGTTCGTTTGGTACTGTCTGTGGCTGCTTGCAAACCACAAGGGCAGTTGAGTAGCTGTGACAGAACACCTGGGCCCCAAAGCCTCACACGTTTACCATCTAGATCTTTACAGAAAAAGTTTGCCCACTGCTGGACTGGACAACCCTTACTCAACCTTCTTAACGTCCTTCTAGCTTAAAACTTGGCCCCTTAAGTTGAGGTGATTTCTTTCGGTGTACATCAGGCCTGGGCCTCTTGGGGCAAGGGCCTCTCAGAGCCGTCCCGGTGGCCCCGAGCGCAGCAGGGGGCCTGGCCCGCGGGAGATGCTCACAGCTGGTGGCTGTTGTTGGATGAGTTAACTGGTGAACTTTGGGCTTCTCAGCAGCAAGGTTTGGGTGACTGGGGAGGGGAGGGGCCATGCCGGGGGGCTGGTTCTCTCCTTAAACATCAGCTCTTTTGCTCCCTGGCCCCTCTCCACAGGGCCGAAGCTCCCTACAGAGACCAAGGAGGTGCCCAGCATGAGGCCTGGAGGAAGAGGATCCCAGGAGGAGAAGCCATGAGAACTGGGGACCTGGGTTGGATCTGGGAATCAGCTCGACGTTAAGATGTGGAATTCAGGAGAGTGTGGGAGGCCCCCACGTGGCAGGGCTGGTACCCATTCACCCAGAGGCGCTGGGCACGGCCAGGTGGTGTTCCAGGATGAGGATGGGCTCCAGGACTGGTCTAACCTCCCATCCAGTGTTTGAATCTGGTTGCAGCTTCACGACTGGCAATAGTCCAGCCTCGAGCCCCTCTGGGGATGGGGGAACACAACCCCTTGCTGGGTATACGTGCAGCGTGACTTGGAAGAGCGAAAAAACTGGAAAACACCTAAATGTCTAGCAATAGGGTTTTGAATGTTAATTTTTCTCTCACATACAACTATGAGGAAAAAGGATGAGTGAGATTTATGTGTACTGATGTAGAAAGACATTGGAAATGTATGGGTAAGTGAAAAAAATCAGGTGACAAAAAAGTATGTTTAATTTGAGACTATGTAAAAAAAAAAGTGAATTCTGAAAAGATAAATGGTAAACTACTAACGGTGGTGATCCCGCCACGTGGAGGGGGATTGTAGGGGGATTTTTGCTCTCTATGGAGTTGGAATTTTTTTTGGAACAAGCTTGTGCTATCAGGAAAATAACAAAAATGTTTCCAATAAATGAAAAGAAAAAAAGAAAAAAGGCCACCTTTCCTTATAGTGGACCCCCCACAGCATCAGCTGCTTTCCTGCAGCATCATCACTCAGGCCTCTGTGCAGCTGTCCGGGCCCCCAGGCCAAAGATGACATCTGTAAACAAGAACTGTGTCCAGAGTTTGTACCCTGGGAGCACAGGCCTAGCCCCTTGGCACAGGTGGCATGAGCATCCTCAGTGGCATTATTCAACGTCTGTCGCTTTCTGACTCGCATGCAAGCTTGTCTTCCTCGTAGATGGGGAGCTTTCCGAGGGCAGAGACGTGAAGGTGAAACTACACAGAGCTGGTCCCCGGGGGCCTCCTGTTGAATGAATCAATGAACAATCTTAGGGGACCAAAAATGGTCAGTGCATACCCGGGAGAAAAGAGGACAGCAGTTGACAGAACAGGAGTGGGGAGAGAAGGGAAGACGCCGTGCTGAGGGCACTGGAGAGAGTGTGGGGGAGGCCCTGGGTGTGAGGCAGGAGGCGAGAGGTTCCAGGCCAGCTTCGCGGCAAGGAAAAGGCAAGGAGAAGAATGGAGGAGAGACGTCAAGATGTAGGGCTGCAGATAGGGAGCTGGAGGGCCTTCCAGTGTCTTTAGGCGACACAGGAACGAGTGGAGTTGTCTTCACTTCAGGGGACTCGTGTTTCTCTAAAGTGATGCGCACTTGGCCTGGACCATGTGGAGCTCGAGCTTACCTAGGCTGCAAATGGACGCGTGCCATGTGGGAACGTGGTCCCCCGACTCTGGCCCGGTCATCAGCGGGTGGGAGTGAGGAGCCACATGAGAGAAGCTGCGGCTGCCTCCACTTGACCCTGGTCAGCCTCTGTTGTGTGCTTGTCGCCCCCGCCCGAGCCAGGAGAGGCGGTCCCCCCGCCCGAGCCGCCTTGGTCTTGAGATGCCAGAGAAGGAAGCCACGCAGGAGAGGCGCTCACTGTCTGGGAGGGCCGAGCGCTGTGCCGGAGGCCAGAGGATCAGGGCTTTGTTTCTATGTAGTAACGTCTTTGGGAAACGTTTCAATTTAGTTAAGAAAAGTGACAGAGCTAATCAATGTCTGTTGCCCCCAAATCTCAAAATAGAGGTAAATTCACAAGAAAGTTCCAGACTTAACCCCCTGTAGTCTCATTATCTAGCACTAATCACCATTGGCCTGTGGTATATACTGTGCCAAATAAGTTTTTGTGCCCATCAGTGTGTAATTTTTTTTTTTTTTGAGGAAGATTAGCCCTGAGCTAACTGCTGCCAATCCTCCTCTTTTTGCTGAGGAAGACTGGCCCTGAGCTAACATCGTGCCCATCTTCCTCTGCTTTATATGTGGGACACCTAACACAGCATAGCTTGCCAAGTGGTGCCATATCCGCACCTGGGATCCAAACCCACAAACCCCCGGCCGCCGAAGCAGAACGTGCACACTTAACAGCTGCGCCACCGGGCTGGCCCCTGTGTGTACTTTTTTAGACAAATCAAACTATACACATTCTTTGTAATACACCATTTGCATATAATTGGATGACTTTGTGAGAACACGTGGGTGTGCATCCCTCTTCTCCCTCTGGTTTATTAGCTGTGTGGCTCCTGACTGGTCATATCGCCTCCCAACGCCTCCCTCAGATTCTCCATCAGTAAGTGGAAATACTGCCGCCCATCTCGCCGGGCTGTGGTCCGGGTCCCAGGGGGTGGTGGTGCCCAGCCGCTTTGCAGAACGTTCTCCAGAGGGTCCCGGCTCTCTGCCCGGTCAGCCTGCTCTCTCTCACACAGGCTTTTGGGTTCTTTTCTTTCCAGGATCGAGAAGGGGGATGGGACCGAGGAGGAGGACCTGCGCTTAGCTTGCCGCCACGAGAGATGCCCCGCCCGTAAGTGGCTTTATCTGCAGGAGCCGTTGCCCCAGCGTCGTGGGCCATCCGAGGAGAAACAACCCTGGACGTAGACGTGAGCCGGGCCAGCCTCTCCCTGCGCCCCTGCGCTCTCCCACAGACACACACTTCAGATGGGGAAACTGAGGCTGGCGTCTTAGCGTACCAAGTCCTCTGCACACAGCGACCCCAGCCCTCCCAGTGGGGTTGGGATGCTAAGAAAGCAGGAGGGACTCGGGCGTGCTTGCAGGCGGGCCGGCGAGCTCTGGCTCCAGGCCAGGCCGCGCTTAGCCACTGGCCTGAGGGAGAACAGCTTCAGGGCTGAACTAACCAAGCCAGGGAGGGGGCAGTGGACAAGATTGTCTGAGCCTTGGATGCTCCTGGCAGCATTGACTTCACATGCCCCACTATGAGGGACGCCATCGCCGGAATCCAGGGTACCCATTAGGAAAACAAATGTCTGGACCAGAAAGCAAAGGGGAGGTACGAGGAGAGAAAGGGCCCTGCTCCAGACAGGAAAGGGAAGAGCCGATGTGAGGTTACGGTTAAAGTGGCAGAATCTCGGCTGTTCCTGCTGAATGCCCCCCACACGCTCCCTGCCCACCCCACCCCAGGCTTCACGTGCCTGATCATGTATTCTCACTGACTCCCAACTCCTACAACCAGGATTACTATCCATATTTTGCAGATGAGGAAGTTAAGGCTCAGAGAGGTGGAGCAACTGGCCCAAGGTCACACAGCTTAGCTAGTCAGTGGCAGAGCAGTTAGAGCGGACACTGTCAGTGCACTGCCCCCATCTCTCAGACCTTTCAGGAAGCTCCAGTGCCTTCCAACTGCCAGTGTCCACATCTCTGTGCCTGGGGGCTTCAGCTGCCTGCACTCGCAGAAGACGAGCCGTGCAGGGGCTCCCCCGAGGCGTGTGTTTTCACAGCCCTCGTGGGACTGGTTCACAGCCGGCTCTGGGTTGGCTGCCTCCCTTTCCTGGTGCCACTTTCCCTGTCTCAGCCGGCTTTCCCAGAGCTCCTTCATGTCTCCCCTACACCCTGATTCCTGCCCCAGGGCCTGCTTCTGCGGACACCCGGACTGAGGCAGAGGGGTTTCACCTCAGGCCCGTCTGACTCCCAGTCCGCGGTCCTGGTCACTGAGGGAGCGATGGCTCTGTGTGGAGGGAGGAGCTGAGGTGGGTGAGGAGCCTGGAGGAGGCCTGGCTGAAGAAGGGGAGAGGGGCTACTCTTCACCCCTGGGGGAGAGGCTCCCATAGGAGGCACTAACCCAGGAAGATGGCCCAAACCCTAACGACCTTCCCCAGGAACGAGGCTTGTGCTGGAGTGGACACTGGGTTCACACGCCGGGGCTCACACGCCGCCGTGGTTTCATTCCGGTATCTGCGCTAGGGTGGTGGGCTTCCTGGAGGAAGGGGTCAGGAACTAGGACATGGAGCCATGGGGAGCGCCCGCCTCAGCGATAACAGAGGGGATTGGAAATCCACCCAAGGGCTGAGGAAGCACATGGCGGGGATAAGGGCTAGGGCCCTGGCATGTTCCCAGCACCGCCGGCTCCCCTGCCTGGGCCTGAGCCTCCTGGCTCCCCACAGAGTGGGCAGGAAACCCTGGATGGAAAGAGACCATGGGGCTCGCCTTGGGGGCAGCTGGGGAGCTGGTGGGAGGAAAAGCCGAATCCCGGGGCCCAAGGAAGAGTCCGGGGGCTTCCGCAGAGCCGCTGCAGCTGAGACCTACGGATGACAGGAGTCAGCAAATAAAGAGACTTCCGGGCAGAGGGGCCGGCAAGTCCAAGTGCCCGAAGCAGGAACAGGGAGGCAGTGTGGCTGGAGCGGGGAGAGCGATGGGGAGAGTGGGAGGAGAGGGGTGGGGGGCACAGAAGGCAGGACCATGGGAAGGCCTTGGCTACGCAGTGGGGAGCCCGGGGACACTTTGAGCAGGGAGAGACACACCCACATTATCTGTGTCTTTATCTATACCTATATCTTTATCTATACATTCACCTGCTTATTTATCTACATCCGTATCCATCCATCCATCTGCAATGTGGGCAAAGGGTTGAGGAGGAGGGTGAGATGCCAGCAGACCAGTTCAGATGTGCTGCCGTCATTCCCGGGACAGACGATGTGGCCTGACCTGTGGAGATAAAAGCGGGTGGACTCAAGAGCCCTGTGCTGAAGAATTGTCAGAGTGTCTTAGTCTGGGTTCCTCCGGAAGCAGATCCCGAGATAAGGATTCAGCAGCAAGTCCCTTATTTGGGTGATCCCAGGAAACACAAGTGGGAGTGGCGGAGAAGAGTGAGCAGGGAAGGCACATTGTCAGGGTGGCCACCACCAGGGGCCCCTTGGGGGGCCAGGCAGCTGGCGCAGAGCACACGCGGCTGAGTCGGCCCCGCGGTGCTTGTTTGATGGCCGCTGTTTGGGGTGGGGCGGAGAAAGCCCTGGTGCCCTCGGAGGTCAACAGCGTGCTCCATACTGGGGGCCCAGGGCCTCAGCTGGTCTGATTGGAGTGAGGAGCCTGGGCTGTGCACAGGTGATTTGCTCCAGCTGTCGAGGGCTGGCATCACCGACTGATGGATGTGGAAAGGACAAGTTTGTGGGGCACGAGGATGCTCTGTCTGTGTTGAGTTCAAGGGGCGTGTAGGGATGGGAACGGAGCTAGTTGAAGCCAGGGGACTGCTGAGATCAACTGGGAGAATGTGTGGGGAAGGGAGAGAGAGTTCCCAGAAGCAGCCCTGGAAAGTGGTGGGGAAGGGGCTGCCGAAAGCTGTCAGCTGCCCCCCAAGGTTTTCCAAATCCTGGCTTCCTGGGGGCGAAAGGAGCCTCTGATCCCACAGCCCCTCTGCCAGGTGTGCCTTTCCAGGCAGCCCAGCTGGCGGGGACAGCCTTTCCCCGGGGGTCAGCGGAGGCACTGGGGGCTCAGAGTTAAACAATGGCTTAGGAAAAGATCTCTCTGCTGTCAGAGGCAAAGGGGGCGTCAGCGCCGCCCCGTGTGGGGTGGAAAGTCAGCGGGAAATCTTCGGTCGCTTTAATGAACCTAAAGTGCGCTCTTCTGTGGCCAGAGGAAAGTCCTTTAATCATTCATTTATTCCACAAATCTTTACTAAAGATGCTTCTCTGGGCTGGGCCCCATGCTGGGCTCTGGAACACAGAGATGAATAAGGCCTGTTCCTGGCCTGGGGAGCTCCAGAGCCATCGCCGTAGCGTGCAGGTGCAGCTTTACTGGGGTCAGTGCGGGCACTGTCATGGCAGAGGTGTGGGCCCCCCAACCCTGGGTCAGGGGGAGGGGGAAGGTGGGGCACGGAGGAGGGATGGCCGGGAGGGACTTAGCCAGCGGTGGTCTGCCTGGTAGAATTCTACAGCAATAGTGATGACACCTGGACCTGGTTATGAAAATAGCCAACAAGAACTCAGTCCCACCAGGTCTGATGATAATACCTCACCCTCGTGTATGTTCTGAGGATTTTACTTTATCATTCATTTAATCCTAGATACAGCCCCATTTTACAGACGGAGAAAGTGAGCCCAGGGAGGTTGTGGCTACGCCAGGAAGGGGGGAGATGAGATTTGCACCCATTCCGTCTGGCTCCAGAGCCCAAACCCTGAGCCACTAGGGTGAGCTGCCGTGTGTGCCTCCAGGGCTGGGCACACCCCGTCTGCCACACCCTGGGCAGGGTACCGGGATGCGGGCCCAGCCACACGTGGACTCTGTCCTTGCAGAGCCCATGGGCTGGAAAAGCAGCCCGGTCAGACCATCTTGGGAAATGATGCCACCTCCAGAACACAGCCTCTTAGCTGCTAGTGGGTTCTGGGCCAAGAAAATATTTTGGAAATGCCTGGACGAGTTTTGCAATATTTCTGCACTGAACAGCTGCTCAAATCTGTGGTGGGCTGACTTGCCGGCAGGAGGAACAGAGGAGGAGGAATGTCAGAGAGCCCGCGTTATTAAACGCTTGCTGTGTGCAGGTCTGCGCTGAGCATTTACAGCCATCTCATCTGATGCTGGCACAGCCCCGGGAAGGACGGATGATTATCCTTATGTGTAGACGGAGAGACCAAGGAGCTGAAAGGCAGACTGACTTCGCTGAGGGCTCTGGGCCCCTGGGGGTACAACTCAGCTTGGTGTATAGAACTGCCACCCTACCCTGGGAATGAGGCTGTCCTGCTCTGGCCTCACCTCCTCCCTCCCTCCCCCGCCTCGTTCTGCTCCAGCCACCCTGGCCCGTGTCCTCCCTGAACATGCACATGCTTTCCCTTCACAGAGTCCTTGCACTTGCTGTTTTCTCTGCCTGGAATGCTCTCCCTCTGAATCTCTGCATGGCTGGCATTGTCTCACCTTTAAGTCTGAGCTGGAAGGCCACTTCCCCAGTCACCCTCCTACCACCGTGTTTTCTTTTCCTCATAGCCTCGCTTCCTCTCTGAAATTATCTTTTTATTTTTATGACCTTGATTTTGCTTTGCCGCCTCTCTCCACTGGGTTCCATGAGAAAGGCACCTGTCTTGTTTTGTCCACATCTGCATCTGAGAGCCTGGGACAGTGGCATGCAGTCAGTGCTCCATTGCTGTGTCTGAATCGCCAGGCTTCTCCTGCTGTTTCCCTCCCGAGCAGCCGCTTGCACATAAGCAGTTACGGGAACTTTTGCTTATCCTGACTGCTCCAAAGGTTGCTATTTTTTTTCTTGTGACATGGATTCTGCCACCACTTTTTTTCCTGAGGAAAGAGTTTGCGCTTGAAACCTGCCTTTGGGCTCTGCAGTGCCACCAGCTAGCGCGGCAGCCCATCAGAGGTGACACTTGGCGGCGATGCCGCTGTGCGGTCCTCGTGTCGGCGTCTTCCTTTCAGGGGCACCTGGGGATTGCAGTTGGTCGCACCTGTCAAGTTCAGCACCCAAGACAGGCTTCTGATTTTGCCAGGTGTGTCTGTAAGGCTGGGCCGGGCAAGAGGCTGTCACTTGCCGGGTACAGAGGTGGCTTCTGGGAACTCCGTCTACACGGGTCTCTG